CTGAGCACAAGAGCAGAAGCTCTCCTGGGTCTCTGCCTCCTCATTGGCTGAGACACAGCAGTGCGAGCCATTGACTTCCACAGCTGTTAATCACAGCCAGTAAGGAAGGAGGGGAGAGGTGGGCATGCACAAGTGTCCCTGGGGCAAGATGCTTGCTCTGGGGGCACTCAGCAGGGTCCAGGAGTGCTGGCGGGGGACCTGAGAAGAGGAGGATTGGGGCTGCTCAGTACAAAAGCATTACATACAGCATGTAAGTATGACATGTTTGCTATTTTAAAAAAATTTTGAATCTTTATAATCACTTTAAGGTTTGAGTAAAGCCAAACATTTTGGTTTTGGGTAAAGTGGGGAAGGTGAGCGCGCATCAGATTTTTTGTTGAATATGTTCCCTGCTCTGTCAATGGAACAGGAAATGAGGGGACATCTTCCAATGGAGAAATCTGTTTTGCTGGCATTTATAAGAGGGGACTTCCCCTTACTTTGGAGAGATTTCCTACCAATTCCTGTTGCATCTCTAGCACAGGAAGAAAAGGGAAATCTCCCGAAGCATTGCTCCATCCATTTGACCATTTTCTCAGTGCATATTTCAAATAACAAGCACGCACTCAAAGTTTTTAGGAGTTCATTCAACTTGTGTCTGGGAAGCTTGTATGATATACAAACACGGTAATGTGGATGTTATCTGTGTGTTTTTTTAAGCATAGTGTATATTACCCGCTGACTTCAAAGACTTGAATTATTGTATTTAAAATACATCAAAGTGCTGTTGTATAAATCCACACTGGTTCATACTAGGATGCTTTCCACCATGCTGTTCATTCTCTTAAAGACCTCATTAACTGGCTTGTTGTTTTCTGATCTGTCACTGTGATTATAGTGCAGTGACAAAGATATGCAAAATCTAAATAGTTGGTGTATTTTCCATGTGTCCAAGAGATCGCAGCATGCTGCAGAGCCACCAGCACAGCTCACACACTGAGTCTGTCAACCATCAGGACAATGTGAAGCACTGCTAGCCAATTTTTTTTTTTTTTACTTTTCCTCCTGAACTGTTGCCAAGAAAGTTGGAAATAGTGATTAGTAAAACAGCTGGGAATATTCAAACCAAATCATAGCAACATATGTGGATATACTACATCTGTGACTGATAGAAACTACCATTCCTCTTTATATTGGTGGAATTTGACCTGTTGATTACAATCACAATTCTGTAATAATTAGATCTGTACTTTAGGTAAACACTTTAAAAAAATTAAAGGATGACTATTACTTTTCAAATTCTTAGCATGAACCCTTATTTCAAAAAGCTAGTCAAAATCAGGGCAAACAGCTAATTACGCAGATAAAATACATACAGTGCTCAGCATAAATGAGTACACCCCTTTTGAAAAGTAAGATTTTAATCAATATCTCAATGAACACAAGAACAATTTCTGAAAGTTTGACAAAACTGAGTTTTATGGCACATTTGTTTAGCTCATTACATGAAAGTAAGGTTATTAATGTAACTTCGATTACAACATCTTCATTTTTACTCAAATTAGTTGATGCAAAAGTGAGTACACCCCACAACAAAAACTACTACATCTAGTACACTGCTCAAAAAAAATGAACACTTTTTAATCAGAGTATAGCATCACGTCAATTAAACTCCTGGGATATTGATTTGGTCAGTTAAGTGGCAGAGGGGCTTGTTAATCAGTTTCAGCTGCTTTGGTGTTATGAATTTAACAACAGGTGCACTAGATGGGCAACAATGAGACGACCCCCAAAACAGGAATGGGTTTACAAGTGGAGGCCACTGACATTTTTTTTTCCCTACTCATCTTTTCTGACTGTTTTCACTAGTCAGTAGTGTCACTACCCTGCAGAGGTTGCACAGGCAGTCCAACTCCTCCAGGATGGCACATCAATATATGCCATTGCCAGAAGGTTTGCCGTGTCTCCCAGCACAGTCTATCTGCTCCTTTGTGCAAGGAGGAACAGGATGAGCACTGCCAGAGACCTACAAAATGTCCTCTGGCAGGTCACTGGTGTGAATGTGTCTGACCAAACAATCAGAAACCGACTTCATGAGGGTGGCCTGAGGGACCAACATCCTCTAGTGGGCCCTGTGCTCACTGCCGGCACCATAGAGCTTGATTGGCATTTGCCATTGAACACCAGAATTGGCAGGTTCACCACTGGCTCCCTGTGCTTTTCACAGATAGGAGCTGGTTCACCCTGAGCCCATGTGACAGACGTGAAAGAGTCTGGAGAAGCTGTGGAGAACGTTATGCTGCCTGTAACATTGTTGATCATGACCATTTTGGTGGTGGGTCAGTGATGGTCTGGGGAGGCATATCCATGGAGGGATGCACAGACCTCTACAGGCTTGACAGTGGCCCCTGACTGCTTTTAGGTATCAGGATGAAATCCTTGAACCCATTGTTAGACCCTATGCTGGTGCAGTGGGTCCTGGGTTCCTCCTGGTGCATGACAATGCCTGGCCTCATGTGGCAAGAGTATGCAGGCAGTTTCTGGAGGATGAAGGAATTGATATCATTGAATGGCCCCCGCGCTTGCCTGATCTAAATCCAAAAGAACACCTCTGGGATATCATATTTCGGTCCATTCAACGCCTCCAGGTTGCACCTGTCCAGGAGCTTAGTGATGCCCTGGTCCAGATCTGGGAGGAAATACCCCAGGACACCATTTGTCGTCTAATAAGGAGCATGCCCCGACGTTGTCAGACATGCATACAAGCACATGGGGGCCATACAAACTACTGAGTACCATTCTGAGTTGCTGCAAGGAAATGTCAGCAAAATGGGCTAGCCTGCTGCATCATTTTTTCACTTTGATTTTCGGAGTGTCTTTGAATTCGTCCTCTGTAGGTTGATAATTTTCATTTCCATCAAATAATGGGGCATCCTTACATTCCTAACACATTACCCATCCATATCAGTATAGATATCCAGCATGAGATTTTTTTACCCATTCAGATCTGATGTGTTTTCAAAGTGCTCCTTTCATTTTTTTGAGCAGTGTATTTTGTATGACCTCCATGATTTGTAAGGACAGCACCAAGTCTTCTAGGCATGGAATTAACAAGTTGGCGACATATTGCAAAATCTATTTTTTTCCATTGTTTAAAGAACGACCCCTTTTAGAGCCTGGATGCTGGATGGAGAGTGATGCTCAACTTGTCTCTTCAGAATTCACCATAGGTGTTCGACTGGGTTCAGATCAGGAGAAATACTTGGCCACTGAATCATTTTCACATTGTTCTTCAGAAATGCAACAGTGGCCTTAGATATGTGTTTTGGATCATTGTCATGTTGGAAAATTGCACGACGACCAAGGGCACAGAGTGATGTAGCATCGTCTCTTTCAATATAGAGCAGTACATCTGTGAATTCATGATACCATCAATGAAATGCAGCTCCCCGACACCAGCAGCACTCATGCAGCCCCACAGAAGGACACTGCCACCAACATGTTTAACTTCAGGTACCATGAATTTTTCTTTGTACTCCTCACCTTTGTGACCCCATACAATTTTGAAGCCATTAGTTCCAAAAACAATTATCTTGGTCTCATCACTCCAGGTTACAGAGTCCCAGTAGTCTTCTTCTTTTTCAGCATAAGCCCTGGCAAATTCTAGGCTGGCTTTTTTGTGTATGGGCTTTAGGTGAAACTTCCTTGTGGATGACACCTATGCATGCCATTCCTCTGCAGTGTACGCCATATTGTGTCATGGGAAACAATCACCCCAGTTTGGCTTTCTACTTCTTTAGCTAACTGCAGTGAACTTGCTGGGCAATTTTCTTCAACCCTTCTCATCTATTGACCTCTGTAGGAACTGTCTTCTAAATGCTGAACTAAATGTGTGAACAGGATAAAATCCTGACCTGAGCCTGATCTAAACCTGTCCTGAACCTGATGTAAACGTGACTTGAACTGCTGAGTCAATTAGCTGTGAAACCTGAGCTTCAATCCACACTGCACATGTGTAAATCAGCTTTCAGTCCATCATCTCATCCTAGAGCATTGTGAGTGGCCAATTTCCACAAATACTTATGTACTCATCCTGTATAATAACTGTCAGGGGCAGCAAGGAGCTACTGGCTGTATCTGGGGTATTTGAACATCCAGAGTAGAGCGAAGGCAGATATCTAGGCTGGATGGCCCAGAGACAGCACAAGATCTGGTGGAGATGATTGACTGGTGTAGTCAAGCAAGGATTGCAGTTGAGGTCCAGGATCAGAGCAGATGAATTAGAAACTGGAATGCAGGTTCAGGATTAGTGAAAATGACATGAATACTTTCTCATACCAGTAGGTGGTGATAACCCTTGACCAAGTCTCATGAGGGCTGCAGATGAGTCTTGGTCGGGGTTGAATTTAGCTGCAACACAACTCCCGGAATGTGGCCGTCGCAAATTTTTGACAGCAGACAAATGATCAGGCAAGGTACCGATCATGGAGCAAAGATGTGGGCAGGTATAGGCCAGCAAAAAGAAGATAAATAACTAGGCAGGTCAGGGACAACAGTATACTGGGAACTGGTATAGAATGTCTTGCAGAAGTAGAAGCCAAAGGCAATGCAAGGTAGGTCAGCCATATTACAAGGTGAGAAGAACAAGGTCTATATACAGCAGCACCTAGGGTTGGAAGGTCAAGTCAGCGAAGACTACTCTTGAACAGTCAAATCAAACCCAGATAGGTAGTTCTAGCTGGTGGGAAGAGAGCCTTTCAACACTTATAGGCATAAGACTACATGAGACAGAAGTGTGGAGATGGCATGACACGGACCTCATAAGTAAATAAATGATAGCAAAGTGCAAGGTGGGAATCAGATTTCCAGAAATGCCAAAAGGTAAACAAAAATGATCAAACCACAGGATCAAAGCCAGTGTAATTCATGATGCTAATGATTATTACTTTACTACACTTATTTCTAAGACATTTTGCTTACATGAAAATGATCTACTATTCTTCCACCTTCAATGTAGGGAAATGTGGCCCTGTATTCGCACTCTATTGTTCACACTGCTGTTGGCCTTCTCCAATGGAGTTTATGGACAAGAGGAGGAAGAAGAAGAAGAAGAATATGATGACCTATCAGAGAGCGTACTGAAGGACATAAAACCAACCTCCAAATCACTGCTGTGCCCCAAGGCTTGTACCTGCACGCAGGAAGGGGTAGTGGACTGTGCTGGAGTGGATCTGAGGGAGTTTCCAATAGACCTCCCGGAATTTACAAATCATCTATCTCTGCAGGTCTGAACAGTTAAGAGTCATGCAGTCTGTATAACATATAAGTTTTAATTCTTCCAGCATATTACTGTATATCACGATCAATACATACTGTTTATATCCCTGAGAAACGTACACTCACCGGCCACTTTATTAGGTACACATGTTCAATTGCTTGGTAAACACAAATTGCTAATCAGCCAATCAAATGGCAGAAACTCAACGCAGTTAGGCATCTAGACATGGTAAAGACAACTTTCTGAAGTTCAAAATGAGCATCAGAATGGGAAAGAAAGGGGATTTAATTGACTTTGAACTTGCATGGTTGTTGGTGCCAGACAGGCTGGTCTGAGTATTTCAAAAACTGCTGATCTACTTGGATTTTTACACAAAACCATCTATAGGGTTTACAGAGAATGGTCCAAAAAAGAGAAAATATTCACTGAGTGGCAGTTGTGTGGCTGAAAATACCTGGTCGATGTCAGAATAGGCAAACTGGTTGCTTCGACATTCAGACGGTAGGGTCAGAATTTGGCGTAAAACAACATGAAGGCATGGATCAATCCTGCCTTGTATCAATGGTTCAGGCTGGTGGTGTAATGGTGTGGGGATATTTTCTTGGCACTAGCAAAGTGAACCTAATAAAGTGGCCAGTGAGTGTATTTGTTCACTGGGGTTTTTTTGGCACAGGAAAATACTAGGAACTGTAAACAGTATTCAGATTGTACTGAGATATGTTATATTTGCTAAACCACTATCTTCTACTTTTGGAACTTGGGTTCTTCATTAAATAGATCCTGTCATTACCTTACAAATTGCAGTTAAAAACACGGAAAAATCAAGTATTTTAAATGCTTACTTGCGGTGTTTTTTCTTTCCATAAATGAGTTTTTATTCACTTGCAATGTGCTTTTGAACTTGCTAGAAAATTCCCTAGCACAGCCCCTCCTTCCTTGCACCACATAGCCCTTTTCCCTTACGGGACTGAATAAATACTCTTCATGCTGGCCCGACTCTTCTCCCCCTCCCTTCATCTCCCTTCTTTTATGCAGCTGCTAGGGAGGAGCAAATGCAAATAATATAGAGTGTTGAGTGCCAACTCTGGGTCTGCTGAGATCCCATCCAACATAGTGACTTGTAAGAGGAACGATGATTGGCTGTGTGTTGGTGCCAAACAGCGCATGTCCCCGCCCTGCATATTCTTGGATAAGGACACCTGCTGGTAGTTTAAGCCCTTTGCCATGTTGTGTCAAACTCCTGGACGTAGGCCCATTTACAACGAATAAAGGAATGTCCGCAAATAAAATGTATTTTTTGCACCTTACTGTATCTTCCCAAAGATGGCCATGACATCTAACATCACATTGACATACTGACAGAATTCTTTGGCATGGAACTCCATACACAGGAGCAGACATTCTGTAGATGTCATTTAAGTGCAGAACATCAACACATAATTTGAAAGCCATCTTCCCATTGCACCTCATCTCTCCTTGGGAGTACTTCCCCTACGTATACAAAGTCCACAGCATTCATCTTCCATCACTGAGTATAATCCCAGTGCCCTCTTTAATATACCAGTCTATCACAACACCCCGTTCCATAGCTGTGCCCAGCCGGACATACTCATAGGTGACACACTTATTCCCAGGTGTACTAGTACTCATTTCAGAAGACTCTTAGCCTGGCCTAAAAGGCCTTTTACACCTGTAGACAACCGTAAAAGAGTCAGGGCGACTACAGCTGGTCCTATTGGGTGTTGAGCCACCTCACCTGGGGTTGCACCCCTGTTAGCAGCCCTTGGACAGTAACTGTCCACATCCATATAACTCTGGGGTGTTTGACTCTCATACCCCAACTCACAAGGCCCCTCCGGTCATGGCATTTTTATGGGCACTAACTTCACCCATGACATCATCAGAGGAAGATTTTCTCTAAAAGGGGCCTAACACCCAATTACCACTTTCCCTACAACAGGCTGTGCTAGGAACAAAGCCATCTAGTGGCCAGCCAGCTAACTGCACCTGCTAGCAGGTGCCCAGCAGGGCTTTTGGATCTCTACACAACATATGCTTTTACAGATAAAAAAACATATCCAAAATACATTAAATGCACATATAACCTTATGGGAATAATTTTTATGAATGTAACACATGATCTTTTTATTTACACGGTCCTCATGTTCTTATGTTTGCACTTGCCCTGCACTTCCATGCTTTGTGCTGACTTTCTTTCTTGTAAGTTATACAGAATAACCAAATAGAAGAGATTCCTCCTGAGGATCTGACCAAACTTTACAAATTAGAGACCCTCAACCTGCAGAACAATCGCCTGACTTCTAGAGGTAAGAACAGTAAAAAATAACTGAAATTACTAGTGCACATATTTGTCACCACCATCTATGAACACTTATTATATGTCTGAGGTTATCGAGTAACTACCCTACATCTGATCTGGAAGTTATGAAAAAGATACAGTAAAAGATATTTGACAGTAATAGTTGTATCCAAATAAAGCTGAACTGAAGGCAAACAGCTAAACACGCAGATGAAATACACAGTGCTGTAATAAAGTATTTGCCCCTTCCTGATTTTTTTTCCCCCAATAATTTTTATTAAATTCTTTCAAAAAACATATGAGTTTGCATATTTAGATTATGTACAAAAGTCCAAGATTAACCAAATTTAGCCCGGGTTCACATATATGCGGTGCGTATATCATATGTGATTCGCACAGGAATCGCACCACATTCCTGTGTGAATCCCATGCAATTTGTGGTGCGATTGGAGCCATACATTATTATTATTATTATACAGTATTTATAAAGCGCCAATAGTTCGCTCAGCGCTGTACATTACAATGGGGACAGAACAATAACAATACAATACAATGCAAAACATGAGGGGATAGAGGGCCCTGCTCTTTCGAGCTTACAATCTAGGACATGGCTCTAAATCGCACTGCACCAAAAACGTGCAGGACTTTTTTTTGGGTCCGCACTACAATCGGATTGCATGGGTAATAAAACCTACAGTCAGGTCCATAAATATTGGGACATCGACACAATTCTAACATTTTTGGCTCTATACACCACCACAATGGATTTGAAATGAAACGAACAAGATGTGCTTTAATTGCAGACTGTCAGCTTTAATTTGAGGGTATTTACATCTAAATCAGGTGAACGGTGTAGGAATTACAACAGTTTGCATATGTGCCTCCCACTTATTAAGGGACCAAAAGTAATGGGACAATTGGCTTCTCAGCCGTTCCATGGCCAGGTGTGTGTTATTTCCTCATTATCCCAATTACAATGAGCAGATAAAAGGTCCAGAGTTCATTTCAAGTGTGCTATTTGCATTTGTAATCTGTTGCTGTCAACTCTCAAGATGAGATCCAAAGAGCTGTCACTATCAGTGAAGCAAGCCATCATTAGGCTGAAAAAACAAAACAAACCGATCAGAGAGATAGCAAAAACATTAGGCGTGGCCAAAACAACTGTTCGGAACATTCTTAAAAAGAAGGAACGCACCTGTGAGCTCAGCAACACCAAAAGACCCGGAAGACCACAGAAAACAACTGTGGTGGATGACCGAAGAATTCTTTCCCTGGTGAAGAAAACACCCTTCACAACAGTTGGCCAGATCAAGAACACTCTCCAGGAGGTAGGTGTATGTGTGTCAAAGTCAATAATCAAGAGAATACTTCACCAGAGTGAATACAGAAGGTTCACCACAAGATGGAAACCATTGGTGAGCCTCAAAAACAGGAAGGCCAGATTAGAGTTTGCCAAACGACATCTAAAAAAGCCTACAAAGTTCTGGAACAACATCCTATGGACAGATGAGACCAAGATCAACTTGTACCAGAGTGATGGGAAGAGAAGAGTATGGAGAAGGAAAGGAATTGCTCATGATCCTAAGCATACCACCTCATCAGTGAAGCATGGTGGTGGTAGTGTCATGGCATGGGCATGTATGGCTGCCAATGGAACTGCTTCTCTTGTATTTATTGATGATGTGACTGCTGACAAAAGCAGCAGGATGAATTCTGAAGTGTTTCGGGCAATATTATCTGCTCATATTCAGCCAAATGCTTCAGAACTCATTGGACGCCGCTTCACAGTGCAGATGGACAATGACCCAAAGCAGACTGCAAAAGCAACCAAAGAGTTTTTTAAGGGAAAGAAGTGGAATGTTATGCAATGGCCAAGTCAATCACCTGACCTGAATCCGATTGAGCATGCATTTCACTTGCTGAAGACAAAACTGAAGGGAAAATGCCCCAAGAACAAGCAGGAACTGAAGACAGTTGCAGTAGAGGCCTGGCAGAGCATCACCAGGGATGAAACCCAGCGTCTGGTGATGTCTATGCGTTCCACACTTCAGGCTGTAATTGACTGCAGAGGATTTGCAACCAAGTATTAAAAAGTGAAAGTTTGATTTATGATTATTATTCTGTCCCATTACTTTTGGTTCCTTAATAAGTGGGAGGCACATATGCAAACTGTTGTAATTCCTACACCGTTCACCTGATTTGGATGTAAATACCCTCAAATTAAAGCTGACAGTCTGCAGTTAAAGCACATCTTGTTCATTTCATTTCAAATCCATTGTGGTGGTGTATAGAGCCAAAAATGTTAGAATTGTGTCGATGTCCCAATATTTATGGACCTGACTGTATGTGATCCGATTCTGCACATCGCACCATGTTTTGCAGACCGCTTTCGGGGTGTTGTTAACTTAACATACACATTCGCAGCAGTTCGCATGAACGGGGTGCGATTCTGATGCGGTGCAGAATTCACACTAAAAACGCTGCAAATTCTGCACCGCATCAGTGTGAACCAGGGCTAAGTCAGCTTTTACTTTACAACAAATTATTATGGTAAACCCAGGACCCTGCATTCACTATATCTGGTCTCCCACAGTACACAGAACTTGGAAATGCAATTATTTTAGTAAATATAAACTGCTAAATACCTTTTCCCATCAGCAGTATATAGCAGTCTTGTGACTTCTATCAGTGCCAGCTGAGCAATGGTTAAAGCTTGTAGGAGGAGTTTTCATTCTCTTCTGCCTGCCCTATGAGATTGCATAACCCCTGACCCTCTATCTGGACAGTGCTGATTGGCCCTGTGCTGGTCACTTGCATTCTCCCAAGAAAAAAAAAACTCTCTAGCAATACACAACAAACCGAGCATGTGCAGCATGCCCCCAAGGCTCTGTTCTATCAGGAGATGGATTGGGGACAGTAGAAGAACAGGATGATCAGAGAAGACAGGATCAAACAACCTTTTTACACAATGCGAAGGATTAACCCCTTAGGTTCCACAGTGAGTATAACAAGCATGCTTTACTGCATATACAGACTGATTTTACTGTTGTGGGTTTAGTAACACTTTAACAATCAAGAAAAACAATACAGACATATTGTAGAAATTATCCTGTTACCCCACATGGGCTCAGGCTGTAACAGGAGTTGTAAAAAAGAAAAAAAATATATGTTACCACAACAAAGAACCAGAATGTGAAGCGAAATGCTGTGGTTATCAGTATTTCCTAATGATTAAGATTAATAATGGGAAAAATCTTACAAAACAATCTTTTAGTTAGCTCTCCTAAATAGCTACCTGCTTTAGGATGTGTTAGCCACATTTGCCAATGGTGTATACATTTAGATACCTTATAGTTTTTAAAAGCTATTGGCCTTTAACATCTAGTCTATCGATAACTACATAAATATTTGGAGTATCAGAAGATTTCCATTTATTAGTCAAAGTGAGTCTGGCCACAAACAGTCAGTGAGCAACTACTGTCCTAAATGGTGCGGGATACGAATCGAATCCTAAACTTAGGAGTGCCATTGCTGGTCTTAGAGATCTACATAGATCAATAAACAACCTGCAAGAGATGCCAGAAAATTGCAAACTGAGTAGTAAATTTCCTATTTGATCATTACATCTCCAGCAGAGTGGGGAAGATGATGGGAAAAATTTTTGAAAGTCTGATTGGTGTTAAATGCTATCTATGTAGTGATATATCCCAGTGATTTATGCAGGATGAGGCTTTATTGTATTATCACTTTTTGTCACTCCCTTCCTGATTTTTTTTTTTTTTTTTCGCATATTTGTCACTCTTCCTGAATGCATATTCTTAAATGAGATAACCAAACATGTAAATACAAAACACAGTTTTTAAATGATAATTTTATTTAAAGGAAAAACACTGTCCAAACATGCCATCCCTATGTGAAAAAGTAATTGCCCCCTAAACCCCCATGATGCATAATCCAAGGGCACTTGAGCTCAAGGTCAGGAACTGATGGCCGGACATTCTTCTTCAGGAATTTCACGTAGAGCGCAGAATTCATGGTTCCATCAACTATGGCAATCCTTTTTTTAAATGCTGTGTTAGTTTTAGACCAGATGTAATGAGATGCTCACCTTCCAAAAAGTTCAACTTTTGTCTCATCAGTCCACAGAATATTTGCCCAAGATTCTTGGGGATAATCAAGATGTGTTTTGGCATATGTCAGACGTGCCTCTGTGTTCTTTTTGGTCAGCAGTGGCTTTCTCCTTGGAACTCTCCATGGAGGCCATTTTTGCCCAGTCTGTTTCATATTGTGGAATCATGAACATTGACCTTAACTAAGGCAAGTGAGTCCTGCAGTTCTTTACATGTTGTTCTGGGTTCTTTTATGACCTCCTGGATGAGTCCTTGTTGAGTAATTTTGGTAGGCTGCCACTCCTGGGAAGGTTCACCACTGTTCCAAGTTTTCTCCATTTGTGGATAATGGCTCTCACCATGGTTTGCTGGAGTCCCAAAGCCTTAGAAATGGCTTTGTAACCCTTTCCAGACTGATACATGCCAATTACTTTGTTTCTCATCTGTTCTTGAATATCTTTAGATCACGGCATGATGTGTTGCTTTTTGAGATTTTTTTAGCGTGCTGCACTTTGTCAGACAGCTCCTGTTTAACCACTTCCTGTCCGGCCCATGTACATAAACGGCCGGACGGGAGCAGTGCAGGAGCGGGTTGCTGTTCATAAATGGCGCCCGCATTTTCAGCCAGTGGCTGGGGTAATAGGAGGCATAGCAGCCACTGGCCTTACAAACAGGAATCCAAAGAGAAGTAATGGTTTGATTTGAAAATGAATAGGCTATGTCAGAGCAACTACTGAGTGAAGCAGAATATGGATGACATATTCAGTGAAGGTAGAAAATCAGAAACAAGGACAAGTAAAACAGTTTTTGCCTAGAGTTCTGCTTTAAAGATGAACACTAGGAATGATTTTTATTGAATGCTTGGTACAAAAATTCAAAGGCCATACTTGAGGGAACTGTTGACGCTGGAGTTCACTGTAGTAGTTGGCGCTACAACGATAGCCACGATCTTAATGTGCCACTCAGATTCTGTGCAAATATTTGCTATTTATTTGCCTGTTATGCCTTTCTGCTGACCCTATGGCTGTAATAAATTCTTTGCCTACACATAGAACAAGTTTACAGTGACAAAGTCACAACTCAACAATGCTTCTTAGCCAAGTATTGAAGCTGTAAGATCAGCATGGCTGCTGGGTAACTAGTATTTCCACTTCCAAGAGTTCAGCACTGGCAGCCCACATATCACTCTTAGTACTGGTTTCCTTTAAGACACCATTTCTTGCAGTATAAATCACATGTAAATGGCTACTATCCCAATAATGAAATTTCCTTTTTCTTTACCTAAGGAATTCCTGATGACCTATTTGAACAGCTGGAAAAGCTCAGTTATCTCTACTTAGCCAACAATAAGGTATAAAAAGTTCTCAAATGAAAAAAATATGTTAACATGAAAACTATTTTTCCTATGAATGTCGCAAGGTCTACTGGCTTTTTTATCTGTTTAAATGATAAACAGTCTGACATAAGGTAGTCGTTTGAAAGGCCCACTCAGGTCAAAACTGAAAATCAGATTTATTGTTATTGGGTTCTTTTTTAACAGTCATTGGAAAGACCGTATAGCCATTTAACCCCTTCCCACCGATGCCTCCCAGTCCTTTAAGAGGGTTTAAATGCCAGGGCATTTCAAACATGTGGCTGCTGTGACTAGTTGTCACAGCGGTCACATGATCAGAAAGCTCCTGATCTCAACTTTTTACATATAGACACTGTGACGGGAGTCACTTTGGGTTGGGGGGCCCATGGAACCCAGCTCCCTTTGGAGAGGTGGGGAGACGCCCTGTCTCAGCTCCCCATATCCCTATTATGTGTAAGTCACCCTGTGCCTGTTAGGGGTACAGGGTGATCTGTCCTAATATTGTGTAGACATGTCTAGGAGATAGGTGGGGTGGGGGTTGTGGATTGTTTAATGTCATGTGGTTGCATCCCATTGTTAGAATTGAGTGTCTGGCTTGGGAGCAAACTATTATGGGATGTATGTGTTTATTTGTATTAGCTAGTGGGGGTGTCTCCAGCAGCCCTCCCTCCTGATGGGACTGTCTGCTGGTGTGAAGTTTGAATACCTGTGTGTCTCTTGTTACTAAATGTAGATTGCCCCGCCCTGTGTCATGATGCAGGGAGGGGGGATTGTCCCCTAAGTATATATATATTGTTTCTGTGTTCAAATAAACTAGTCTACCTCCTGGTTTACTTCAAGTCATCTAGTCTTGTATGGTCGGCTGTGGTGTCTGTTGTCGGTGTTTGAACGGGAAAACGGTATTCTAACAGAAATACTCAATCGCAGTCTGGGTCGGTTCCATTACAGACACATACAGTATATGCGGCCAGTCGGCACAATGAGTTAAAGGCACCTTCAAATGCATCGGTCTGACAAAAAACTACAAATTGAGGCCATACAACAAAAATATCAATTACACCATTGTCACAAATAACATTGCCAGGTGTCACAGAGAGGGGTTGCTCAGGGACCCTATCAAAATTTTGCCATGGAGCCTCATGAATTGTAATTACACCTCCAAGTACAGCCCACCCATTGTCATGGTTTCTGGATGAGAGATCAGGCATAGTTTAGGGTTGTCACATGGGGCTTTCATACCCTTATGTATTAAGTGGTTACCTGTTTAGTAAGCTGTGATGTATTCAAGAAAATGTATTGAAAGTTTTTAGTTAGTTAAACCCATATTTATAAATGTGTGTTTCTTATATATTGTATTTCTCCTGGGTTGATTATTCTTCTCCTACTGCGTATTTATACAACCAGTGGTGTCCCTAGGGTGGTGCGGGCTGCACTGGGTAACACCATCACAGGGGGTGCAGGAGCAGGATGCGGTACAGTGACAGCTGCCCCCGCCCCGGTGTAGCTGTAAAATGAGTATCCCCTGAAGCAACTGCGCATGTGCCGATTTCAGGCAGAAGAAGCTGATCTCTGACTCTGTGCTAAAGTTGGAGATCAGCTTTTTTGGCCTGAAACCGACACATGTGCAGTTGATTCAGGGGATAAATATCTTCAAGGGATACTCATTTTACCGCTACACTGGCACCGCTCCTTCCTCTCTGGAGGGGTGACACCACATGTTACCGCACCGGGTGACACCAACCCTAGGAACGCCTCTGTATACAACATAAATATTCTTCTACTACTGCATATTTATGAAACATAGCTGCCTGTCAATGCCCTCTGAAAAGCCATCCACAACAGATCACTCTTCAGAAGGTGAAGCTCATGTAAACAGTGTATGTTGTGTATTTGCAACCCCTTCACCTGATATCTTGAACAGCCAATAAGACAAATTTGAAAAGTTCTGAGACTTTTCACTTCAAGTGAGACAGAATTATTAATGGATGCATAATTAAGAACTGGTCATGGTCAAATGCTATTTTGTTGCAGTGCTACTTTACAGCAGCAGAAGGGTCCTTTCACACAGGCGTTACTTTTTTTTTATCAGTTCAGTCATGTTTTTTCAAAGAAAAAAACGAATCAGTTTACATCCATTTTTTCATCCGTTTTTCATTAGTTTTTTTCATCCATTTACATCTGTTTTTCATCCATTTTTTCATCCGTTTACATCCATTTTTCATCCATTCCATTCTTTTTTTTTTACACAGAAGAAAAATAGGGTTTTCTTCCGTTCAAAAAAACGGATGTTAACGGATGCAAAACATTAACGGATGTAAACGGATGATCATCTGTTTACATCCGCTAGTCCATAGAAATACATAGGTGTCCTTTTTTCATCCGTAAACGGATAGATGGAGAGAGGACATACGGAAGGCCCGTGTGAAAGAGGCCGATGGAGGAATATATGAATCAGGCTGTAACTTTGTGCTAAATCTTTTGCACAACCTTCCTCAATGCACCCGAACTGATTAATGTGACCAATAGTAAAGGCAGAGAAAAAATGCTTCTAAGGTACTGAGGCACATTTGTTATTATGTAGAATGTGTCATGTACAGCAGCCTTTAGGCTTGGTTCACACTGCCGCGACTTCAGGTCTGACTTGTGAGACCCCAAGTCGAATAACGTGAAATCCCTTGTTAGTCAACGAGAGGTGTCTTAATTAGCATTACTGAAGTCGCTCCAACTTTAGAAAAGGTTCCTGTACTAGTTCAAGCCGACTTCTATCTGACTTGTGCCCATAGACTTTAATAGAAGTAGCCTCCAAGTCAGATCCTCATCTACAGTTGCAAGAAAAACTATGTGAACCCCTTGGGATTACGTGGAGTTTTGCATGAATTGAGCATAAAATGTGCTCTGAACGTCATCTAAGTCACAACAATAGAAGAACACAGTCTGCTGAACATAATACTACACAAACATTAGATGTTGCCATGGTTTAATTGCACATAACATGTAAACATTCACAGTGCAGGGAGGAAAAAGTATGTGAGGCCCTAGCTAATGACTTCTCCCAGAGCTAATTGGAGCCAGGAGTGAGCCAACCTTGACTCCAATCAGTGTGATGATATTGGATGTGTTGCTGACAGCTGTCCTGCCCTTCAAAAACACACACCTGTTTTGGGTTTACTGGTTTCAAGAAGCACTGTCTGATGTGAACCATGCCTCGCAGAAAAGAGCTCTCAGAAGACCTACCATCAAGAATTGTTGACTTGCGTGAAGCTGGAAAGGGTTACAAAAGTATCTCCAAAAGCCTTGATGTTCATGTGTCCACGGTAAGACAGACTGTCTACAAATGGAGAAAGTTTAGCACTGTTGTTACTCTCCCTAGGCGTGGTCGTCCTGTAAAAATGACTGCAAGAGCACAGCGCAGAATGCTGCATGAGGTAAAGAAGAATTCCAGAGTGTCAGCTAAAGACCTACAGAAATCTCTGGCACATGCTAACATTTTTGTTGACACATCTACAATAAGGAAAACATTAAAGAAGAATGGAGTACATGGGAGGACACCACGGAGGAAGCCATTGCTGTCCAAAAAGAATATTGCAGCACGTTTGAAGTTTGCCAAAGAGCACCTGGATGTTCCACAGCACTACTGGCAAAAAATACTGTGGACAGATGAAACCAAGATTGAGTTGTTTGGGAAGAAACACACAACACTATGTGTGGAAAAAAAAGGCACAGCACACCAACATCAAAACCTCATCCCCACTGTAAAACATGGCGGAGAGAGCATCATGGTTTGGGGCTGCTTTTGCTGCCTCAGGGCCTGGACGGATTGTTGTCATTGATGGGAAAATGAATTCCAGAGTTTATCAAGACATTTTGCAGGAAAACGTACGACCATCTGTCCGCCAACTGAAGCTCCGCAGAGGATAAGTGATGCAACAGGACAATGACCCAAAGCATACAAGTAATTCAACAAAACAATGGCTGCAACAGCACAGAAATACGCCTTCTGGAGTGGCCCAGTCAGAGTCCTGACCTCAACCCCATTGAAATGCTGTGGCATGACCTTAAGAGAGCGATTCACACCAGACATCCCAAGAATATTGCTACACTGAAACAGTTTTGTGAAGAGGAGTGGTCCAAAAATTACTCCAGATCGTTGTGCAGGTCTGATCTGCAACTACAGGAAACGTTTGGTTGAGGTTATTGCTGTCAAAGGAGGGTCAACCAGTTATTAAGTCCAAAGGTTCACATACTTTTTCCTCCCTGCACTGTGAATGTTTACATGTTATGTGCAATTAAAGCATAGCAACATCTAATGTTTGTGTAGTATTATGTTCAGCAGACTGTGTGCTTCTATTGTTGTGACTTAGATGACGTTCAGAGCACATTTTATGCCCAATTCATGCAAAACTCCACGTAATCCCAAGGGGTTCACATACCATTTCTTGCAACTGTATATTGATGTGATTTGGATCCGAAATTACAGGAAGATTACCCAGGAAAGTCACATGGGATGAAAGTTGGATCAAAGTTGTACTCGGGTCATATCAAGTCAGCAAATTGCCAGGAAGTCACCTGGCAAAGTCGCACCGTAAGTCATGCAACTTTCAGGTCGCAGTAGTGTGAACCGAGCCTTACAAGGAGGTCAGAAAGTGCTACACAACTTCAAGGACCAAAATAGCTGAAGATCTGACAAATATCGTGACCATACAAGTGAAAATGTCTGATTGTTCTCAACCAACAGACCCCCATGCAGTGTGTTGGTCTAAATGAAAGAAAGTGATCATATCCATTTTTAAATACGTTAGACAGGATAAAAGAGGTACGCGTTTTCCAGATTGGCAGTACATTCACATGGCAGCGGTCTTAATATATTCCCTTTGACCGAAGTTTTTGAAACTAAGAAAAGTGTGAACCTGAGCAAGCCACATGGACATTTTTAGCAAGAATAAGCACTGGGCTCATTTCCATGAGAACTGGCTGAGTTTGTAGCTTGGCAATGTTAA